TTAGGAAGTGTTCAGAGTGTGCTTACTGCATTCTTGAAATGAAAAGATGCGTTTATAATAGCCCTCATAAAACTACTGTATTATAGAATAAAACCTATGTAGGTTCCTCCAAATTTGTTTAAATCACAGTATGATCACGGAATAAGCAGGGCATGACATGGGTGAGGTGTGCTATCCATTATCTGCTAACAACTCCAATGCACCTCAGATCAGAGCACAGTTGTGTTATTTCTCTTCAAAAACAAATCCTCAGTTTGCCACCTTAAATCAGTAAATAAGAAACCCTACTTTTGTGCATTCCACTGTGAAAAAAAGCATCAATTTCTTAATCCAAGTTTGGATTAACCACTCTACCTGGAACGTGAAAAAGTACTCTCACAAATTCACTCCAGTTACATTAGCAAATAATTGTGGCCAGTCTATTTTTATGAAGACTTGAGGACATCTCATATGAGCCAAAAAACATCCTTTGGATATTATATAGGAACAACAGGAACTTCTGACAGATCAGTCACGTTGTATCGTCAATAAAACCCCTTGCCACGGTTCTTTTTAATTGCTTAATCGTGTTCATAATAACCTTGCAGAAAAACAACTTACATTTTCAAAGAAGCAGTCGTAACCTTCCGGAGATGCTTTCTTCAATGCTTCCTCTAAAGAGCTCACTGTTTTGTAGTTGAAAGCTTCATCAAACCCCATTTCTTTTAAGTAGGCAACCTTTGAATCAGATCCAGCACAGCCAACTGCTTTACAGCCCTGAAACAATGAGTGAAATTAAAAGGAAAATAAAATGAATAGGAGAAAATAAAAAAAGAAAAGAAAATGAAAACTTCAAATTTAATGACGGTATTAAAGTAAATACTGAAAGGCACGCCTTAGACTGCAGCAGATACAGAACACAGGAAAAAATGTAAGTCTTTCTGGAGTGTCTGCCTGAAAAGACAGTTCTTTCAAAACAGACACGCACAGGGCAGCAGCATAATTAGTGCCTTCATTATGTTCAAGCAAGCAGACCTCCAGATGGAAGCAATGTAATGCAATCCTATGTTATGAAGGAACCACACTCTGTGGAAACATCAGGTTCACACCAACCTTAATTTTGGCAATCTGCCCCACCACTGAGCCAACAGCCCCTGCGGCAGCGTTAACCAGGACCACATCTCCAGGTTTCATCTCGCAGACCTCCGTCAGGCCGTACAGAGCCGTCAACCTGAAACATGCGAAAGGAAAAGGCTCAGGCCAGGTGGGACTTGAGGGCTCTTCGGTTACACTCCAGCTATTGGTTGGCATATTACTACATAGGTGGGGAGCTGCGTCAGCATGCGTAGGCTGCAAAGGAACAAGTAATAGGTTTACTCCATGCTGAAAAAAAAGAAAGAAAACACAACGTTTCGGCCGTGGAGCCTTCTTCAGGTGTGAGTATATTACTACATATACATACTGTACAGTATTACTACTGATATGACCACTGTTGCTCTCAGTCATTCACAGCCCAAGGCAGCAGATGTGCTGCGGTTTGTACCATCTACACTGTAAGATGAAGCAGCTTTTCTATTGCTGTAGGCGTTATACTCATTCAGATTTTAATTTGGTTTTTGCCGTTAACACCGATGGAAAACCAACGCATAATAAGCAAACTCTTGCCTGTAGACTTCTGTAGCTGGCCTGTAAACTGCCCTGTGCTCCTGTGAGCTGACA